GAAGAAGTGAGACTATTTCAAAACCCATTTAAAGCAAATGTGGCCAGTTGCAAAAATGAACTGCAGCTGGAGGTTTTTGAATTGCAAGCAAACTACCTCTTTAGGGACAAGTTCAAAGAAGGGCGGGTGGGTTTTTATACGTTTTTGCCCAAGGAAAACTTTCCTAATATTAAAACTTTTGCATCAAAGTACTTTTCAAATTTGGGAACATACCTGTATGTATGAACAAACATTTTCAAGAATGAAATACTTGAAGAACAATAAATTTGAGACAAACTTGGACTTCGAGTGTGTTGTCGGCCCCCGACAGTGTTTCTTTCACACTTTTTTCTCCGGGAGGGGTGGTCACTTGAAATTTGTATATATTTCTATATAAATTATATTTCGTTGCAGGGGGGGAGGGGTCGATAGACGTTCTTCGAGGGATGACTTGAAGTAACTCTGGCCCCGAGCTGATATTTTATAATGCGGCCCTCGGGCTGAAAAATTTGGAGACCCCTGATTTATAACAATAAGAAACGATTTGGGCGGGGCCGAGCATGCGTAGTCTGAATCTAAATACACGCCCAGATCAACATTTGGAAAAATCATGGAGATTGTTTGTTTGTTTGTTTGTTTGTTTGTTTGTTTTTGCGTTGACGATACTTCTCTCATAAGTTAGTTGGCTATAGAGCAGGGGTCTCCAAACTACGGCCCGCGGGCCGGATGCGGCCCGCGAGGTAATTTTATCCGGCCCGCGACGATCCTTTTGTCCGCTGAATAAATGTTTGTTGGGGGTGGCTGAGGAGCTTTGCACAGAAACTTCAAAACTATTTGAAAATGTAGCTTTGTGTGCAAATACAATTACTCGCCGTGTTGCAGACATTGGTGAAACATTGTGACTCAATAGCGAAAAATTCAAGCAAGTTTCGCTTTTTAATTGCAATGGATGAGTCGCTGGACAGCTGTTCCACCTCTCAACTTCTTGTGTTTATTAGAGGTGTTGGTGAAGACTTGAACATAACACAAGAGTTGGCTTCCCTACATATAATGTATGACACTGTTACCATAGAGGATATCTAACCATAGATAGTTCAGAGACAAACAGAAAATCGCAAGATTTACCATATTTCGCATCACGTATAGTTAATTGTGTGGGAGGGGGATCCCTTACAACTCTAAAATTAAGAACAAAGAAGAAAAAGAAGAAGCAAATTTTGCGAGAAAATTCTGAGCAGAGTATCTAAGAAAAGAAATAGGTGACTTCCTGATAGCAAGTCACAGCCATTATTGTCTGATGAAGAATGGGTATAGAAATCGGCCTCTACTGCAGACATAACTAGTCATTTAAATTTTCTGAACCTATAACGGCAAGAGAGTGAAATCTAGTTTCTGATCTATACACCCACCTAAAGGCCTTTAGATACAAACTTGTCATGTTTTTGGAACAAGTACAGGCCAACAACTTGACACACTTTTAGCAGTGCAAGGTCTTTACGGCTGAAGCAACCACTGAGTTCCCCACGTCATTAACATACGATATCGTTGAAGACCTCCAGCTGCAGTTTCAGTAGCGGTTTTCTGACTTGGACTCAAAGGCAGAAGAAGTGAGGCTGTTTCAAAGCCCATTTGAAGCAAATGTGGCCAGTTGCAAAGATGAACTGCAGCTGTAGGTCATTGAATTGCAAGAAAATGACTTCCTTAGAGACACGTTCAAAGAAGGGCGGATGGGTTTTCATACGTTTTTGCACAAGGCAGACTTTGCTAACATTAAAACTTTTGCATTAAAGTACCTTTCAAATTTTCGAACAACATACCTGTGTGAAAAAACATTTTCAAGAATGAAATACGTGAAGAACAATTTGAGAGCAAACGTGGACCTCGGGTGGGGGAGGGGGGATGGACACTTGAAATTTGTATATATTTCTATATAAATTATATTTCGTTGGGGGGGGGTAGACGTTCTTCGGGGGGCGCCACGACCATGAAGAGATGCCTTAAAGAAACTTTGGCCCCCGAACTGATATTTGATAGCTAATGCGGCCCTCGGGCTGAAAAGTTTGGAGACCCCTGCTATAGAGGAACGACTACCTATCAAGTAGGCTACTTTATAACAATTTATAATTTCGAAGAGGGACGGTGTGGCGAGTGGGGTAATTATTTGGGGTAATCGATTCGGGGGGTAATTGATAGCGAAGAGTGGGGGTACTAACCTATACTAAAAATTTCCATGTGTAAAAATGGAGTTGTGGCATGGATAAAGACACACGTGTATATATAGCTTACAAAGATAGATGCGTGGGCCCTATATATGTATTTATATACATTTAACACCACCGCTCTCAATCACCACTAGTCTTATCAATGTCAGCTGAGTGAAACAAACTTTTAAAAAGCCACAGTTAGAAAATCATGTCCAAGATAAGAGTTCATTCATCTTTTTGTTCCTTTTAATTTCTACCTTGGGGAAAACCAGACTGAGCTATCTCGGCTATTTTTAGCATTGGCCCCATACTAAATTCATCATGTTAAAGAGAAAGTATGGATAAAATAAAATGATGTGTTAGCAGTATAACAAAAGACACATTGCATCTAGCATGTGTTATTTATTTTCAATGACATTTTGAAACTACAATAACTTTTTGTTATCATTTTTCATAATTTAACGTTTTCTTCATTGCATTTGCTATTTTTGCCGGTACTTTTTGTTTTTAAAATGTAGCACATTACAAAATTAACAAACTTTGAAAAAAACCAAAACAAATTTGCATTTTGTGTGGTTTTTTATTTTATTTACATACTTTATCCAAAATTATTAATATCTATTTATTTTTTTGATATTTTTGATATTTGTTTCATATTCAAAGAATTTTAAAAGTCCACTCCAACATTTTATTAAATCAGCCCAATCTTTTGATAGTTTTCACACACAAAAATTTCGCATGAGCCGATATGTAGTCTATAAAATAGTTCCGGGTTTAACAAATAGAAACAATTGCATTACATATTGCTGCATAGTATGTAACATAAAGAAATTACCTTCAGTAATTTAAAAAACAAGCATTAATCAGAAGTCTTTCAGTCTCCTATTTGTGATGTACATATATCAACCAGATCAAAAAACATTAATGGAATATACAAAATCAATTTTTTTTAACCAGAAATTTGAGATCAAGAGTTTAGTCCTTTTTTAGTGTATTAACTTAAAAATAATTAATAAGAATGTTCTTTGATTGCTATTTTTTGTTTTGTTTTAATAATAATGTTATTTGAAAATATTTTTTAACTCTTTAAGACTGGAACTATTTTCATGTTTCTCCAGGATGATGTTTTTCCAGTACATAGACCACAAAAAAAAAAACAATACCTTTTTACACCCTTATTTCAAACGTACACATTACTATTAATACTAATATAAATTAATCATTATTGAGTGCCCTACATGTTAATATAAATTTTAAGTAATTATTTTTTTAAAGAAAGAATATTACTTAGTATAGAGGAAAAAGCAATTAAGAAAAGCTTTCTCTTGAACAAAATTAGCCAATGGTGGGATAATTATAATAAAAATTATTATTTGGTTGGATAATTATGATAAAATTTATTCTTTGATGGCATAATTATGATAAAAAGTATTCTTTGGTTGGATAATTATGATAAAAATTATTCTTTGGTGGGATAATTATGATAAAAATTATTCTTCATGTGTTTTTATTCATAATGAATAAAAGTAAGTTTGTTTTTTTTTACTGAAATCCTGGATTTGATTGGTGTTATTATTAAATACTTTAATTTTACAACTTGGCCACTAACTGATGCTGAATGGAGTTCTGCAGTGTTAAAAAAAATGCTATTTTGTGTGCCATTTTACAAAAAGAATTCTATTAAATACAAAAATCAACCATCAACCAAAAGGGAAAACCACAAGAAGTAAATACATTTAAAAATTGCTGTTCCTGCAATAACATGCCCTACATTTACAATTAAAAACTTGGATTCAGCAAAAACCACGAATTAAATAGAGAAAATATTATCAGATGCCAGGAGCTTGGTTACAGTCTTAAAGAGATAAAAAGTGTATCATCACATTCAACTCAATTGGTGATTATCATCTGTTCAAATACAAGCATTTAATTTCTTTTAAGAAGTAAGCTGCCTTTGAAGACAAAAAGCACTACAAGTACTGTGCATGAGATATTTGGTAACAAACGTATCCATTCTTCATAAGCTATAATCTTGACACTAAACACTTTAATACTCTACAAGCAACACAAAAAAAAACCCTGTTAACATCTCAATAGTTTTATAGTCAACATTCCAGTAACCTTGACATTGCAAAAAACAAAATAGCAACTCTTGACATTCTGTAAACATACTCTCATAACCTTCCACAACAAGACCTTGTCATAGAAATCAAAACCTGATATTCCAGACATTTGAATAGAAGACTAAGCTTTTCATTACATTTTTTTCACTCTGTGGTTTGTTAGTCTTGGTATTTATCTTTGAAGCTCCAAACTTTAGCCAAACTTAACACTTTACAGCCCTATGCAGCCAAATGTGTCCAAGTTTTTACTTTTTTTATAGTCTCATGCGCCCAAAAAATGCCTGTTCTATCAAAGCCACTATTTTTTTCACCATTAAATTTGATGTTACTTTATTAATTAAAATATTTACTCCATGGTAATTAAAAATAATGTACAATAATCTGCATCCATTTTTCTCTGTGAATTACATTTTTTTTTAATGCACATGGATTTTCAATTAATTAATTATTCTGAGCAAAAACTTTTTTTGAAAAGTGAGTTTATCTTTTTTGCTTTGCTGTACAGCAAGAAAAAACATTTTGAGCCAGGACTGTCAGTTACCATTTAAAAAAATTCATTCTGTGGTATCCTAACCTTGTTATCTACCTTTATTTGTAATTACAAACCTAAGCGCAACCTCTTTGTCTATGAGGTCCATTTTCATTATATTTCATTATGTTCTTTCCTAACTATCTTTTATATGTAGTTCCAAACCTCCTTAACTATGATGTTCCATTTGTCTTGCGAACAGCTCTACTCATGCACCTCTGCAGCTTCTGAAGTTGAAACTTGCTGTAAACCACATAAAAATCAGCAATCAATAATAACCAAAATATTATTTGAAAATATATTGTTACATTCATTTTCAGTTTTACTCACAGCTATTAAATAGTTTTATTTTTCTACTTTATTTTTAAATTTTAATATTTATTGATCATTAAGAAAACAATTTACAAAGAGACAGAATAGTAAACTAAATATAGTTGAACATAACTGACATAATGGAAAATATTTCTTGGGGGAAAAAAAGGGGATTGGCTTGTGAAGAAAAAAAAATAATAGACGACAAATAATTTTCTAATAATTTTCTGTATACTCAGTAATGAAATGGTTGAAACTGAATAATCTGTTTTTGAAAATCTTAATTTTTCAGGTTTCTATTCTACAACCCCGGATGGGGTAACTTTGTAACAAGTCTAGAAAATGTTATTTAAGATAAATGGCATCTAGCATTTAGAAAGAGTGATAATATTGTTTTATGTCTACATTATTATTTTTTTAAAAAGAAACAAACAGAACAACAATCACATCTACCCAAGAATATATGGCATAAAATAATGCTTTAAAATTACTACATGAGTAAATTTGTTAAAACATACTGTTTGATCAGATGATATGAATATCACTGGAATTGCAAAAAGAATTTTTTTAAATTGTAATCCTTTGCATCCATTCACTATTACCTCATGTATTAAGTACAGAATAAACCAGGATCAACTTTTATTTTAATTCCCTTATTTAACCTGACAGTCCATGGGGTAAGTGAAGTAGAGATCACCTGTTTCTGTGAACATGGCATATGAAGGGATAATGTGGTCAGCACTATGCCCAGCCGCCTTTACTTTCCCTAACTTGAGTTAGGTTCCCATCAGAGCTGGGTGGACTCAGGGTTGTTCTACTAACTAGATTTGAATTCAAGCTTTTCAGGTTAGTAGCCTAGCGCTCTGCCGCTAGACCACTCCATCCCACAGTAACAACTTTGAGGGAGAGAAATATGAATAAATTAAAACTGATCAAAAATTACCTCCCATCACTAGTTAACTCCCTTGGTTTCAACCACTTTTTTTTAAACATAACAAACTTACCTAGCAATCTCTTGGCCATGGTGTTGGAGTATGAGTTCACACAGTAAATTAGAGCCTTCAGCAGCACTTTCAACCAATGACAACAAAGATTCAACCATCTTCTTTACCTCCTCTGAGGAACTCGATTCAAAATCTTTTTAGGGGAATGAAGCAGAGAAAGGATTTAGCAAAATGTTTTTAGAACTTTTTTCAGTACATGTAGTTGAAGGTAAAGTAGAGTATTAATTTAAAATAAGTTGTGTAACAACATAATGTTAAAATAAAATAATGTTCTTCACTTTATGTTACACTTAATGGTTAGCACACAGCACAGATCATTAGTAGGAGAAAAAAAACAATTTTTTTACCTTCACACTCTTTGAGGAAATCTAAAAAATCTGGCAGCATCAAAGACTTGACTAGAGTATCCTGCAGTTCTTCCACTGATCTTACCAGTGTGCATAAACCTTATAAAACAATAGTAAGAGAATGATAACTTGTACATACAACTTACAGTAAATATATAGACAGTTTAGTGGCAAGACCCATTTCAAACATTTTAAGAAGTAAATTATAAAATTAGCCTTTCATGTACCAAGAGATATATAACTGGATTAATAAACAAATTTTAAACTTTTAATTATGGACAATAAAGAGAATAGAAAATTGTGTTGTTTTTTATTTACCAGCAATACAGCCAGCCCAAACTTCTCCAGCTAAAGGCCAGATAACTCTTAATTCCTTTTGAATATGCATCATGAGTGATCTGCCCTTCCGTTGCCTAAACTCATAGAATGTACTCAAATATTCCACAATTGCCTTAAACAGCCTAGACTGTGAATGTTTTAATCTTTGCAATGAAGAATTTCCTGTTAAAATTATAATGAATTTAATCTTTAATGAGTTATCAAAACACAAAAAACTATATGGACAAATTTTATTATTTGTAAATTTGTAACATAAATATCTAACAAAATAATATAATAAATAAATATACCTGACAGGGTATCAATATTTTAGTAAGAAGAAAAGGCTTACTTTTATTTTTTCTCATTTGCAAGCGGTAAGCCACAAGACAGACTTCAAGTAATTTCAAACACACCAGAGGTGGGGGGTGAGGTAGATTTACTGTGGAAATATTATTATGGTAACGATGTTAGCTAGTAAAATCCAATAAATTTAGCACTTAGATATTAATCGTTTTAAATATGCCTTAAATTTAGGAAAATCCAACTCAAATTCATAATGTTTCGCTTTACTTTAGGTACAACGTTCTCAATAGGTTTTACAGTATTTTTAATTTAAAACCTTAATTTCTTTTTTTTAAATTAGTCAATTACTCTAATGGCTTTAACCAACCCTAAAATGCTTACTTTGACATTTTCTTACACAAACTCGTTAGATCCAGTTTGAGAAAAAATAATCAGGTTTTTTGTCTAGTTTGCATATATACTTTTTTGCAATTCTTACAATTACATATGGTTTATGAGTCAAGGTCACAAACTTAAGTAAGTGTTTCAGTGTTAAACAGCCATAATAAAAACTCTTACACAGGTTAGGCACAGACAGGAGAGATAACTCAAACAAACTTTGAAAACATTGCAGATCAGCAGCAGTAATGGGGGAGTTGGTGTAGATTTGCTCAACCAAGCCCAGTGCATGGATTGTCATACTCTAGAATAAATGTTAAGGCATTCCTGGTATAAAAACAATAGTTGTATTATTTAAGTCTATAAACTAACTTTTTATTTTACAATTAAAAGTAAATGTTTCATAAGCAAACTAAACAAATTATTTATTTATTTATTTTAATTACATCATTAGGTAATGCTTTCATTAAAAAATTAACTGAAATTGTATGGACAAACAGTTCTATAAAATAATTATATTTGATTATTCTTGTTGCTAATGGAAATATTTCTATCAAGCAATCTTTTCAACACAAACCTCAATCTACGCTAGTTATAAAAGTGAATTAATTCTCTGCTAGTATTTAAACAAGCATGGGAACTATCTAGTGGCATAATCATCTTTCCCAAGATACATGAGGCAGATGGGGTAGGATTCATCTGTTTTAATGACAACAGCATAAAGGGGGATTGTGTGGTCAGCACTATGCCAAGTCACCTTAGTTTTACTAACTTTAGCCAGGTACCCATCAGAACTGGGTGGACTCAGAGACATATTAAAATATCTTGAGCCTAGGAACTGAACTTGGAACTTTAATGTTAGCAGTCATAAGTTCTACCATCCAAACCACACCGTCCCATTCAAGTGGCATGCAATAGATCAATAGTATACAAAACTTGTCAATGAAATGTACAAAAACAATTTTAAAACATAAATTTTAAAATGTTTTAACCTCTGGGCAACATGTGTTTTGTTAACTAAACGTACAAAAACAATTTTAAAAAATAAATTTTAAAATGTTTTAACCTCTGGGCAACATGTGTTTTGTTAACTAAACGTACAAAAACAATTTTAAAAAATAAATTTTAAAATGTTTTAACCTCTGGGCAAGATGTGCTTTATCAACTAAACGTACAAAAACAATTTTAAAAAATAAATTTTAAATGTTCTGACCTCTGGGCAAGATGTGCTTTGGTCCTGTAAAAGCAGGGTTAAGGACCTCTCCAGAAAGTTCACAACAGTTTGAAACACATCACACTTGACCATCGCATACAACGCCTCCGGACACTCAATCAAAAACCCATACGCTGGCATCAAGAAGCGGAGCACGTCGTCAGGCATCGGCTTCCAGTGCTGCATCTCCTCCACGCCCTTCACCGTTTTCCTTTTAGGTCTGCTGCTAAAGGAAACCTTCCTTGAGAGCAAGGGAAGTGGCCGAGATCTTTGAGAATACACAGCTTGTCGGTGGGAGCAGAACTCTTTAATGTCGTCTTCGGTGAGATTAACTTTAGCACTGGTGAAATGTGATTCATCTTTCGTTTCAGCTTGATTATTATTAACATTATGTACATCGTTATTTTTTTTACAACTGCTTATATGATCTGAAACTAACATAGATTTTTTATTCGATTCAGTTCTATTCTTGATTTCTGTATTTTGATCTATTTTTAAATCACCAATTAGTGGTATAGATTCGTTAATGTCATTTTCAACACTTGAAAAATCAGGTTCCACTTCATTAACTTTGTTAATTAGTGAAGTTAAGTTTGATGGGTGATTGATAGGTGGTTCAGCAGTTAATGATTGGGAGTCACTTATTTCTTGATTGGTGTTTAAGCCCATTACTTTTATATTTTCTAAGGCAGCCTGGGTTGCATTCTTAACCTCTGTAACAACATCATCTGTGTACTCTACATTTTGACTGTAATAATGACAAAGGTAACAAAAATTAATTCATTGTTACAAAGGAAAAAAAAGAATATATAAATGATTTACCAGAAAAAGAAAATTACAAATATTTTAAACTACATAAAATAATAAGATAGGATTACCAAATGTACTTTAGTTATTAAGCATAATGTACAAGTTAAATTCCTATAGAAAAAGGGTGTTTCTTTTAAACAAATCATAAAATAAAATGCATACCATAAAAAGTTGAAAAAAGGAAGTAACTCTAAAAGTTTTTGTGTCGGTTCTTCAGTAATTTCAGACAACATTGCTGCTATTGTTCTGACTGATATCAATACAACACTGTGATTTTTGGGCTACATAAAGAAAAAATATTTTTTTTTATTACTCGTATTATTTCAATTTAACAAGTCTTTTAACAAGGTTTTAAAAATGTACATATTTGAACAAGCTATATTTTAAATGGATATCAATAAACTTTAATTATTTCAAGAGTGATCTCTAATTGGAAAAAACAAATTTTAAAGATGATTTTGCATTAAATAACAATAAATTTCAATTATTTTGTACAATGAATTCAATTATTCCTAATTGAAAAATAAATTTTAAACAGATGATTTTGAAATGAGAAATCACTTCTAACTATTATCACACAATGAAATTCAGCCTCACCAGATCAACCTCCTGACTAGAGACTGAGCACAGGAAGTCTGTGATTGTCTCCCCTGTTTCCACAAGTTTCCTGTATATAACAATAATGGAATCTGAGTCCAAAGTTTCACCAAAGTCTCCCAGAAACTCAATCACATTACACATGAGTTTATACGCCTTGTCCAGTACAGCATACCTCTCCAAAGCCTACAAGAAAAAATGTTAAAAATAAGTCATTTTAACTATTTAATTCCATGATAATAGTTTTTAATAACTTTTAATTGTGTCGATTAGTTAAAAAATTAGTTTTAAAGGGAAAACAGAGCTAAATTAACTGTCACTATTTATTATCATTAAATAATTTAACCTTATACACACATTACATTCAATTACAGTATTGCCATGACTTAGAATATTTCATTTTCAACTGTGAGAATTCATATGAAATTACACTTATTTTTTTTTTTATTAAGTATTTTTAAATAATACTTTATGGGTGTAAATGTTGACAAACACCTACAACATAACATCCTTGAATTTATTTTTAAAACAGGGGAAAAAAAGATCCTCTATACCTGTGGCTACATATTATGAAAGGATGACAGACTTTACATTGACATGAATTAGCATGTTCTTCAACACTAAAACCCAGCAAAAACATCACAGATCACTCTTGTCTGTGGGTTAAGTCTAAACAATCCTGGAGAAGGACTGGTAAAGGGCTGATGGGCTTACATGGGCTCAACAGAAGAGAGCTGCCCAAAACAGCATCAGGTGGAGAGTTGCAGCCTTTGCTCCTCAGGAGCTTCACAGCATTAAGTCAGGGTAATGCAAGGGTGATGTACACTCTCTTACTTTAAAACTGTACCTCCCCCCCCCCTACCAAGTATTGATTTACAGACCAAGAATAAACTTAAACCCCACAAAAATTACACATGACTCATGTCTATAATAATAAAGTAAAGTTCCCTTTTCAATGAAGTAGAGTTCACTTGTTTCTGTGACCTTGGCATCGTGTGGTCAGCACTATGCCAAGCCGCCTTTACTAAGTCTATAATACTGTGCACTCAATTCCTTAAACAACTTTACCCTTCAGTGTTGATTTACACAACAAGAACACATACTACCACCATACACAAGGCACTCACATTACTCAAGTCAATGCAATCCAAACTGACATAAATCTCCACAGAAACTCTGGCTACAACAGCTTTTAACAGACCGGCATCTCCAACAACTTTAGGGTTCAAGACTTCCACCCCAGCCGCATCAACCAGAGCACTGACAAGAAACAACACAGCGTCGCTATCCTCGGGGCCTAAAAAAAAAAATTTTACAAAATATTTTTTTACCAATTTAAATAACTACATTTTTTTTCTTCTTCTTTTTTTTTTATTTCCTACCAAGCTGGATGAATGAGAACTTTGGAAGTGATGTTATTTTTTTAAAAAGATGTTAAAACCTTGTATATCATTTCAGTTGCCTAATAATTTAATTTTACTCAGCATTAAAACAGCTATTGGGAGAAAAATATATAGGTCTACATTTAATCATTAAAAAATAGGTACTAGTATGTACATAAGAGTGTAAAAATGCCTAACAACAGAAGTAAAAATATAAGTGACCTACTCATTTTAATGGTGATAAATTTCTTCAAAATCTGCACCAATTTAATAACCCAATCTGTTTGAGCAGTGACTTCAATCTAAAAAAATACATAAAATGTGCATTAGGTATACATATGATATCAGAAGGGTTTTATTCACCCACTTATAAAATAAAAGGTTATTTTGGAGAATGATGGATATTCTACTTACTGTTGAGATTCCATTGAGGAATGAAGTTAGAATCCTTGCACATTCTGACTTTTCTCGTAAGTCCTAAAAATTATCGTAAAATGTGGTACTTGTATATCTACCATTATCATTGAACTGACATCTTCATTTATAAGTTAACTTGGAATTAAAAATTCAAATGTATGTAAAAATGTTTTCAGTATAATTTACTTATTTGATACCAACAAGGAAGGTAACCTACAGAGCCAAGTCCAAGCTTATCAACAGTCAAGCTCATTAAGTGATGAAACTTGTCCGGATGACTGGAGAATATACAATCCCCACGACCCCTCATGACTTGACTTAGACAGTTCAGTACAGCAGTAAAGTTTTGACCTTACAGAAAAAAAAAATTAGCTTTACTTGCATTAACCAGGAATTCAATGATATGGTCAACATGGAAAGGCTTAAGATTTTCACAGAAAAAATAATTTATCACACTTGTGCTAATAGTAACTAATAGTTACATATTATAAAACACAGAAGCAAGCATACGTTAAATTTAATCTAACAGGATAACATTTAAATTATATTTTTGTTCTGTTAAAAGTGCAAAATTTAATTTTTTTTTATATTAAAAGAGAAACTAACAAGTATAGTCAAGTGGAATGAAGTTACCAAAAGCAATAAGTAATTATTTTTTAAAACTTACATTATAAAAAAAGAACAATTACTCACAGTGTTCAGATGTAACATAATCAACCAACAGATCAGCAGTTCCACACTCTATAAGATAACTGATACCAGTAGAGCACTGAGCCATGTTTGAGATTATCTCCTCACAATCACAACACAGGGGGATGAACTTCTCCTTCAAGTCCTGCCCTCTTTTAAAAAAAAAAATTTAAATAATTGTATTCAGTAACAGAGATATCTAAAAAAAAATTTAAAGACTGACTATACATAAATTAAACAACAAAAATGATATATAAATATCCTTGTTGCTTGCCAAACAAGTACAAGACAAAAAAACAACAACAATTAAGTCATATAACAACCACCAAAAAATACATCAAAAGGAAGCTTATTTAATTAAACTTACAAAGTATTTGATGTTAGAACATGGTTGACAAAATGTAAAGCTTCTTTAATTTCTGGTTGGCTTACCTGGAAATTTAGAAAAAATAAACTGAATGCAAAATTGCTTAAAGCTAGGAAACAATACTATTAAGAATATACGCCATTTGCTCTAATTTATATTTTAGCAATATTTAAACTGTAAATGTGCTTGAAAAAATGCTCCCATTATAAATAGCTTTTTAATTTATCTAATTACATTTTATGTGTTGATTTTGCCTTGAAATCAAGATTTAGAGCTCTATAACTAAATGTAAGATTGATAGTCTAATAGTACATTATATACAGTGAGTGAACATCACAACTTTACACTAGGTGGGGGTGAGGATTCACACTCAGAATTTCTTGTGATGGGTGGGAGTAGCTGACAGGCAGAAATCAAGTTTGAGGCACATAGCAGCTGGTGACTGATGCATGTGTGTGGGTGTTGGAAGTCAGCAGCAGTATGAAACGTGTGTGAATCAAAGATTGAGGATAGAATGTACATTCAGACTGTGTGGAAGTTGTGATGTTCTGCATGAAAGTGTTTTTTTCAAGTGGCTGTTAAACCACTCCATTTATTTAATACTTGTATCTGAGAAGATGACTTGTTAGCAACATTCAGAATAAGATTATCAATTTTTCACACTTATGTTGTCTTGCTATGCTTATGAAGTTCTTGTTGAAGTAAAACAAATCACAAAACCAGCAAATAAGAACTGCTACACAAGCATAGCTTATATCAAGTAATACACCCATGCTTACATTCCTCCTGCATTCAATAAAATACTGCTAACAAGCAAATAGTATCAATTATTATAACCAAAATTATTTAGGATTTTAATTGTTGAAAAGTTGAAAATTGCAATACTTACAACATATGGGTCAGTAGTCAATGTAGACAATAAACATAATGCAATGGATTGCTGGGTGCTGATTGGACATGAATCATCACCTGGTTTAAAAATTCAAACACTCAACAAAAGTACTACAACATACAGAATATAGGTTTGCCAAAAGTTCTAAAATATATTTAACTGTGCCAGATTGGGTGGCCGGAAAGAACCGCAACGGAAAAAAGCGCAACGGAAAAAAGCGCAAATCAAAAAGCGCACACGGAAAAAAGCGCAAAGAGAAAAAAGCGCACACAGAAAAAAGCGCAAAGAGAAAAAAGCGCAAAGAGAAAAAAGCGCACACAGAAAAAAGCGCAAACAGAAAAAAGCGCAAACGGAAAAAAGCGCAAAGAGAAAAAAGCGCAAACAGAAAAAAGCGCAAAGAGAAAAAAGCGCACACAGAAAAAAGCGCAAACAGAAAAAAGCGCAAACAGAAAAAAGCGCAAACGGAAAAAAGCGCAAACAGAAAAAAGCGCAAACGGAAAAAAGCGCAAACGGAAAAAAGCGCAAACAGAAAAAAGCGCAAACGGAAAAAAGCGCAAACAGAAAAAAGCGCAAACAGAAAAAAGCGCAAACGGAAAAAAGCGCAAACAGAAAAAAGCGCACACAGAAAAAAGCGCAAACGGAAAAAAGCGCAAACAGAAACAGAAAAATGCGCAACCAGAAAAAACACAAAGAAAAATGTGCAAAAGAGAAATTTAGCACAAAGACCATATGGACTAGATGACACATTTATACATGACTGTTAGGGCTGCTGTGAGAGTGTCGTGTTTGATCACGTGATCTACTACCATTTAAAGCGTACCACTACCATCTGCATTCCCATCACCAGGATATAGGCGATAATCACTTTACACAATGGCTATTATTTTCTTGGTCAATAATTATTCAACTACTATTCTCGTATAAATAAACATCAAAATATCATTGATATCGACATTACATGAAGTATCTCTCAATTATGTATTTAATATTATCATGACGCACCTACCTACGCACCTTCCCACCTACCCATTTACCCACCTACCCACTTACTTACTTACCCACTTACCCACCTACCCACTTACCCACCTACCCGCCTACCCACCTAAAAAGTATCGACGAAGTTCGTTAGTTTCGTAAACTGCACTAGACATATTTTTTTTAATGAAAATTCATTGACATATTATGTTACATATGTTATATTTTGCGACAACCTTATTTAGTGCGTTGGGCTAGTGTGAACACTCACTTCGAATTAACTCAATTACATGCTATTTATTTTAACATTACACGGTAAGCGTCACCCAACTGTTGTGATGTGCGGTGAGGACAGGTTCGACAATAAACCAACACGAAAGTACGAAAGAGACATAGATTGCCTATTAGAGAATGGACCCCTTAACTTTCCTAACCCCACCATATATATATATATATATATATATATATATATATATATATATATATATATATATATATATATATATATATATATATATATATATATATACCGAGGGGTCTATGGGGGGGGTTATGACCCCCCATAACCCCCCCCCTGCCTACGCCACTGCATATAAGTATTCGCATAGATTTAGAGTAGCGTCCCTTTTGTTTACATGTTTTCATTACCCTTCAAACAAAAGTCTATTTTAGTTATATTGAGATTAAAGAATGTAAATAAATAGTATACACAATTCTGTAGAATAGGAACGATTGGGAGGGAAGTGACATTTAGCGCAGTAAATTTAGAGCTTAGGTAGGGTATAATAAATGGTGGGGTTAGGAAAGTTAAGGGGTCCATTCTCTAATAGGCAATCTATGTCTCTTTCGTACTTTCGTGTTGGTTTATTGTCGAACCTGTCCTCACCTCACATCACAACAGTTGGGTGACGCTTACCGTGTAATGTTAAAATAAATAGCATGTAATTGAGTTAGTTCGAAGTGAGTTTTCATACAAGCCCAAAGCACTAATTAAGGTTGACGCAAAATGTAACATATATGTAACATATGTCAATGATGTCAATGAATTTTCATTTAAAAAAAAGATGTCTAGTACAGTTTACGAAACTTACGAACTTCGCCGATACTTTTTTGGTGGGTAGTTTGGTAAGTATGTAGGCGGGTAGGTGGGTAAGTGGGTAAGTGGGTAGGTGGGTAGTTAGGTAGGTAGGTGGGTAGGTGGGTAGGTGGGTAGTAGGTAGGTAGGTAGGTGCGTCATGATGTGAAAAAATATTAAATACAAAATTGTTATTTTGGTGCGAATGAATGTTGTTACGAGAGATATGACGAATGCATGTTTGATGACGCGGATGAAAGAGAGTGAAGTTTTGCCAAAGGAACGGGTTGTTATAGTATGCAAGCTAGGTAGTTCGGACTAGGGAGAATGTGAAAGATACTTCGTGTAATGTCGATAGTTTTATGTTTATACGAGAATAGTAGTTGAATAATTATTGACCAAGAAAATAATAGGCATTGTGTAAAGTGATTATCGCCTATATCGTGGTGATGGGAATGCAGATGGTAGTGGTACGCTTTAAATGGTAGTAGATCACGTGATCAAACACGACACTCTCACAGCAGCCCTAACAGTCATGTATAAATGTGTCATCTAGTCCATAATATGGTCTTTGTGCTAAATTTCTCTTTTGCACATTTTTCTTTGTGTTTTTTCTGGTTGCGCATTTTTCTGTTTCTGTTTGCGCTTTTTTCCGTTTGCGCTTTTTTCCGTTTGCGCTTTTTTCTGTTTGCGCTTTTTTCTGTGTGCGCTTTTTTCTGTGTGCGCTTTTTTCTGTTTGCGCTTTTTTCCTTTTGCGCTTTTTTCTGTTTGCGCTTTTTTCCGTTTGCGCTTTTTTCCGTGTGCGCTTTTTTCTGTTTGCGCTTTTTTCCGTTTGCGCTTTTTTCTGTTTGCGCTTTTTTCTGTGTGCGCTTTTTTCTCTTTGCGCTTTTTTCCGTGTGCGCTTTTTTCTCTTTGCGCTTTTTTCCGTTTGCGCTTTTTTCCGTTTGCGCTTTTTTCTGTGTGCGCTTTTTTCCGTTTGCGCTTTTTTCTCTTTGCGCTTTTTTCTGTGTGCGCTTTTTTCCGTGTGCGCTTATTTCCGTTGCGCTTTTTGATTTGCGCTTTTTTCCGTTGCGGTTCTTTCTGGGAACCGCCAGATTGCTGCATCAATTTAATTAAAGCTTAATAAGAATTTTTTTTTTTGTAATTACCAGTTCTGAGAAGTCTGGACAGAAATTCAAAGCCAAGTGTTTGTAAGACAACAGACTGGTCATCGGCTGTAAATGAGTTTTCTGACACATGTTGTGTCACCTATTGTATAGATAGTTCAATGTTAAAACTGTGAGAAAAAGTAGGTAATCATGTATTGTAATGTTTACAACCTAATAGTAAATCATCGCCTGTGACAAATAAACTAGATCTAATAAGCTTACATTTCTTTCTGAATCAAATTATCAATCCTAGTAAAATGTGAAAAAATGCAAGATTTTATTTAAAAAATGATGAATGAATGTAGTTACGTAGTTTAGTTTAAATTAAGTTCACTTGATGAATGAATGCAGTTATGTAGTTTAGTTTAAATTAAGTTCACTTGAATTTAAATTTAAACTTATTCAAACCTCAGTCAAATGCAATATAGTTTATATAGCCTGACCTACAATACTAGGCAGCTTTTCACAAGTACTTAGTACACTACAGTAGGCAACACTGTTTGTACTGTACTAAAATATAGTCTGGGGTCATCCATAAATGACGTCACGCTGTATTGATGATTTTTGCCTCTCCCCCCCCCCCCTCCCCTCTGTCACACATCGTCACAAAAAGCCAGCCCCCTCCCTAAAATGACGTCACACCTCAGCCTACAACCACCCTCAAAATTGCAGTTGAATTTTTCTTAAAACATCCATATTTTTACAAAAACTGTGTCAGCATAGAGTATTTTAATCAATTCCTATTACAATTTATTAAAACTGTTTTCTAAAACGCGAAATAACGGCTAAAACTCGTTTTCTAACATTGCTTTTTTATAACTCAAAAGTGTGACATAACACCATCTGAACCCCCCCCCCTACCCCTCATCACATCCCTTCACAAAATTACGGACACCCCCCCCCCCCCACCCCTTACATTTTACAAGTGTGATGTCAGTTATGGACGATCCCTGTAGTCCTGCCCTAAGATTAGATTTATTTAGTTCATTATCTTATTCATACTAATAATTAAATTTAAAATTTAGCAAGAATTGGTTATTCGAATAGATAAAACTAAAACAATTCATTTTTTTTTAAAACTTAGTCTTTCTTACACAGTACCCCATCAAAACCTGGAAAGTTGGAAACTCACCTCGAGTAGGACTGAAAACTTCTCTTTATCAGAACAGGATTTTTTAATTAAACTTAAACATGTCACCAAAAGAGAGTTTGACGTCTCTTTTTTCTGTTTTTCAAAATGTGCTGCATACATTGTGTGAAATTTTTAGGTTTACAAAGTATAGGTTTAAGGTTAGGCAAATTTTTGAAACTGATGATCTACAAAATACGCTACAGTTCACAGTACTCTACATTTGTTTTTCTCTGGTAGTGTGAGAAAACAAATGAATAACCCGGAAGCAATATCTTTTCGCATGAGAAAATATTTTCGTAATATTAGAGATAAAAGTATATTATTATTATTGTGAAATTATTATACATTAATATAGATCTAGGTCTATATAAAACTGAACAGTTTTATAAATCACTTAAATCCTTGCACAACACTTAGTAAACAATGAACTGCAATTACTATAAAAATTCGTACAATAGGCTAACATTGTTTTCTTTTGCACCAAAAAAAAAAAGCTTAGGCCTATGACTATAAAATTAAAATTAGAAGTGTTTGTTTTAATTTGTAATTAATTTACTTGAGGTAATGATGCATTCGTGTACTACTGTATTTGATGTGGACCCTTGAATATTTTAACTAAAGTACACTTTATGTTTGTATACAATAATTAATACAGTGAAATTATTGAAATACAATGTTGAGTAAATTAGCTTCCAAATTATACTTTTGCTCCAAGACCAAAGTCTTTCAAAATTAGTTAAGTTATAACCCATTTTTTTTCTTAATGTAAATACCCTCTAAAAGTTTGTTATAAAAAATTATTTTTAAACTCAACGTGACGTGGCAATTTCAGTACAGCCCTATTCCCCCCCCCCCCCCTCCCTCTTACTGAAGTGAGGTGTAACGTCCTTTATATGCAAGCATACGAAACATTGGTAATAGGCTTGATTATTTAAATTTAATAAACTAAAACTTAATCATCTTGATGTGTTCAGTTATGAACAAGTTATAATATATGTGAAATAGACCACCAAAACATTTCCAACTCTGAAGACTGTATAAGGGATGTCACCAAGCTTGGATTATTTTGCGAAAATATTAATTGAGTTATTCCCCTTTGACCGTTATGTCTTCCTACACGCTCACGCAACTTAGTCTTATGTTATTGTTAGGTGTGTCTCTCATGTGGTTGTGTGATTTTCATCACGGATACCCTGGAACGTGGCTGCGCAGATTAGGGCTCTTGCACATGGAGCAAGTGGTGGTCCTACTACTGCATTCAGTAATGGACTATACCTGGACACCGAGCCGGTAGGTCGCCATGAACATTGATGTAATAGGCCTTTTACTAAGCCCAACCTTGATTTTTTGTATATATTATTTGTTGGTTAACTAGCCACAGTACAATGGGCGTGCAACATACTTATTTCAATAGAAACAAACTTACTGAGTAAACTGAATAAAAATACATTTACGGACCATGTTTCTGAAATTATGCCCATCTTGATTCGTGTTACAATAAAGTCCTGGTATTTTGGTTTGTAACTTTAATTGATGAATTATGAGGTTTAATGTCTAGTTTTTAAAAAATGCAATTTGTAAATTGACATACAGCTTTGTAGACTTGGTCATCGGGCTTAGATTGGGCAAAAATGCACAATGAAAATCTAAGTGGGTCTACGGAAGGCAGTTTCTTTTTTGTTCCCCCTTCCCACTCCTCCTTCCCTCCCTCCCCCACCCCTCCCCTAACGGAGAAGAATGTATGTATACAATATATACTTTTACCAGTGTCCGCACCCGTTGTCGTCGTAGTCCGACAACCCCCCCCCCCCCCCCTTCCGAAAGTTTCAAGTGACCCTTCACCTCTGCAGAAAAAAAGTTTGAAAGAAACACAGCACGTCCAACCACGCTATTTGTTTTAAAGTGCCCCTACATGAGGGATACGGTGAGCTACTACAGTCGATAACAAAACTGAAACAGGGCGGCGCCCAGGACCCCTTCGGTAGTTCAACGAGCATCCCGCGACTATTTGACACCGGGGCGGTCGACAGGGGTGCTCTGCCTCGTTTTCTATTTTTCTGCCGCAATACACATAGCATTAGCAAAATTTGCTATTACATCTTTTATAGATTAGGTGTGGTCAGAAAACGGCTTCTATCTTCCAAATGTAATTCACTGGTAACAATATTTTTAGCGCAATTTCCATACTGGACAATTGCGATTATTTACTCGTCATTTCTGGTGATGGATGGATGTGTGTCCGCAGCTTTAAGTCGTATCTCCTCCTCAACGAAGCAATATCGAGGACTAGTTCCAAAAGCAAATATGTTAAGCAAGTTCCGAGGATGATTGTGGGCCAAAAAAATTCCCGGAATTCCTTCCTGGATTTCCCGGAAAAGCCAAAAAAACTCGAAAAAATGCAGTTTTTGGCCCATATCTCGGCAACCCGACCACTTAGCGACTTGAAACATTTACCAATCGATTCCTGTCATAATTTAGAACAATATTGCAGAAGAAAGTTTTCAAAATTGCGCTTAAATTGTCACTAGACTTTTTATTAACTTGTTTATCGAGGGTCCTTCAGTTTTTAATTTCTTTCCCACGTTTTCTTTAACTTGCTTTCTCTGTGTCTGTGTTTCTGTGTTTGTCTTTCCAATCAAATCTTGCGATCGAAATTTCTGGCACTTCCCAGTTAGCTAGCGCGCTGAAATTTTCAGGGAAGCTTTCTTTTGGATGACCATAGAATATGCAATTGTTATTATTACTAAATTGATCAATGGAAACATTTTATTGAGCATTTTAGACCGCTATATAATCTATATATATAATTCTCCTCTGCGAGCCATTAGAAAAAAAAACCAGCGACGCGTACCTCGCGCGCAGTGAAGCGAACGATCCCACGTTGCCACAGGCTTAGGGGCAAATAATTTACTTTGAACCGAGTTTAAACTTACAGGATGTAGGCCAGTTTGGGGGAGACGATATGGTCGAGTGGTTGGGCACACGATTGCTATCCCACTCGACACGGGTTCAAATCTATGTGTTCTAGTCAGTAACGTATTTACACAACGATTTTTTTTCGAGTTGTCTTTTTACGAGTTGTCTTCGTTTACCCAAAAAAAAGTGAAAAGATAAAATCGATAGCAAGATTTTAATGCAAACAGACAAAGACTAAAAAGTAGAAAATAATAATCATTAAAAAAGTTTTAAAAAACCCACGTTTTCTGATTGAACTAAAAAGTAGAAAATAAATACTATACATCACAATAATGCAAGCGATCACTCTACTATAAGCGATCAAAAACGTGGGGCGCCGTGATTTTCTTACAGTTTCTAATACTGTTGACTCTCTACAAGCTCCCTAATAAAAGTCAATAGTATTATCTAATCAATAGTAATATAACTTTTACTTCGGCGCCCCACGTTTTTGATCGCTTATAGTAGATTGATCGCTTGCATTATTGTGATGTATAGTATTTATTTTCTACTTTTTAGTTCAATCAGAAAACGTGGGTTTTTTTAAACTTTTTTAATGATTATTATTTTCTTTTGTAATCGGGGCAGTTAAATGAAAGAGGAAACAAAAAGATGCGCCCAACGTGGGGCTCGAACCCACGACCCTGAGATTAAGAGTCTCATGCTCTACCGACTGAGCTAGCCGGGCTTGCTCTCGTCCAGCAATAATAAAAGGTCGTTCTCCAACACTGAATATGCCCTTCATTTTTAACTTTCTTTGTGAAGATTTTCATTTGCAGTTTATATCGGGTTTACCCACATTCCAAAAATAATTTATTATTGTGTTGGCTTATCTTGTTGCTCAAGCCTTGGATCTCTGGTGCAGTCCTAATCTAAATCTAGCGTCTACTTAGATCTAAATTCTAGATCTACATACATAGCTTTAGGTGGGCAAAACTCATTATTTTATGATCATTAGTCTATGTATCACTAGATTTTACTAAAATCTCTAAACCTATAGTCGACAGGTTCAGTTTGTGTAAAGTGTAAAGTGTAAAGTAAAGTTAAAGTTAAGTGTAGATGTAAGTCGTAAGTCACTGTTGTGTTTGACTGTAGTCTAGTCTAGTTGTGTCTGTAGTGAGTGTAAAAGTGTGTGTAGTCAGTAAGTGTAGTCATCTGTACTGTAATAATTAATAATTAATTATAGATCTAAGTGTAGTAGTTACTAGTTAGTGTGGTTAAGTAAGTGTAGTTTAGTGTAGACGTGTAGAATAGCTGTAATGAGTGTAAACTGTAGAGAGTAGTGTAAGTGTAGGACTGTTGTAGTTTGTTCAATGTTAAGTTAGTTCTGAGTACAGCTACAATGGTCAGTTCAGTCAGGCAGATTCAGGATATCGTTGTTTTAGATCTGAAAAATAGGTAATCTATCGTTTTAGTGTTTTAGGTACGTAAAATTGCCCGCGACTAGTAATGTGAAAAACAGGTGACTCCTTGATTTAAATTTTAATAATTATTTCACATTTTGAGGAGGATTTATGTTTTGAGAAGATACAAAAATGTTTCCTTGTTTCATTTATGTACCTGTTTTTAAACAACTGAATTAAAACTTTTCAGTAATAAATGAAGACTAGCGATGTTTCCAACAGATGCAACCATGCTCATTTACTATAGCAGCCATCTTGTTTATTTTTTTTTTATTGTAAACTTATAGCGCAAGATTCAGGGGAAGCCACTCTAACTTACAGATGGCCGCTTTTTATATAGCAAATCCTGCTCGCAAACACTGCTGTTTAAAGTTAATTTTTTGCCTATATTGATATATTTAACCATTGATTTAGGTTTATTATTCATTTATCTATAATATTTGACACAAATATATCACAATATACTTCTATTAAAGCCTTGACAATGAGGTCAATTTTTCATACATTACTAGCCGCAGGCGATTTTACGTACCTAAAACGATAGATTACCGAATCTTGATAACTACTAGCCAGTACTAGGGATCTATAACTAGATCTACTATAACTACTATAACTAATATTAACTATAGTATAAGAAATCAACATGGTCATGTGGCAATATTAATATTATATAGGCCTAGGCCTATATAAAATACGAAGTGTCTATTCTCAGTCGACTGTGAATTGCCGTATTAGGGCTATTCACAGCCTAGTATAGACTATAGAGGCCTATTAATTAATTTTTATTTGTATTGATGTGTATTTTGTTTTCAAAGGCAATTTATCATAACTGGTCATAACCTGCAAGTTTTTTTATTTCTATACAGGTTAGATGATCATGACATTGTGAGTCTCTAATTATGGATGAGTACTCAATGGAGTTTGTAGCAGAAGGCCTGGCAAAGGAGAACTTTGAACTTTTGTATCAGTTTTATCAGTCTCGAGATCTTTGTGATGTTGAGATTAAGGTAAGTAACCATTATTTTAATTTACATTAGATTTTACCTAATCAAGGGTTTGAAATCTTTTTGTAATGTTTATATTTTCTAAAATTTAAATAATAGTGTCATTTCATAAATTCTTCTTTTTAATTGAAATATATATTGGACTTATCTCACTGAAGTGAAAATAATATTTTTTATTCTGAAACCTTTAAAGCTAGTAGCGGTATACACAAACTTTGTTAACACGTTGTATTTTTGTCCAGTCAATTACTGTCAATCCTGATTTACAGTTTCTATTTAAGAAAGGAGTTGAAGTTATTTTAAGAGTGCTGTAAGATCAGCTGAATAATTTCAGACCTCTAATTTAATGAAGTTCCTAAAACATTGTTAATTAATCACGTTAATTGAATAACACATAATAAGTACTAAAACTTCTAAAAGCAGGAATTTTTAAAAATAAATGAGTGCAGATTTATTAACTTTATTGAACACTAGTTGACTAGTAGCTTGACAGGAAATTATAAAATGTTAACTTTGTCTTATTTTGGAAAACAAACAATAAACGAGATGTAGTCAGAATTAAGACCAACGCTTGTCTAGGACTTTCCCCACCCAAAAATACTTATTCTACATGTTATATGTAAAGTGTGAATCCTGGCTTTCTATACTATGCTTAAAAGTGCTGGCAAATTACATAAAGAATATAAATCATACGAGCCGACCCGTGGCATATCATACGCCGCTATTTAGTTGTTGTTTTTTCTACTTTTCAGTAATTCATAATTTGTGAATTCGACAGTACTAACGCTGCCACTGAAAATATTTCGTTAAATGCTTGTAAACATTTAGCATGAACCACAGCTCACCAGACCATGTAGGTGTGGGGGTGGTAGGGAGCACGTTTACAGCTTGTTTTCTAGCGTTTCCCAGAAGAGAAGAATTATATATATAGATTAGATATATTCACTGGGCATATGCATACTGGATTTAACAGTAAACAAAAGGTTTAGTTTAGAATGTTAGGTTTAGGGCCAATTTGTAATCAACATGGGAAGGGGGGGTGGAGGTAAATGTCCTGTTACCTACCACATCAGCACTAACTGTCTTGCCATTAAACATCAAGAGTTAAATGTGAACAGTCCTCCCCTTTATCCCCCACAATTCTTGATCAGTGCACTGTTTCATGTAGATCCACACTAGCAGTGATTGTCTTGCCATTAATAAACATCAAGAGTTAAATGTGAACAGTCCCCCCCTTTATCCCCCACAATTCTTGATCAGTGCACTGTTTCATGTAGATCCAGACCAGCATCCACCATCTACTTTGACATTTAAAAAAACCCATTTCTATTCCAGGTTGGAAATAAGATTTTTCACTGCCATCGCCTGGTGCTTGCCTGTGTGTCTCAGTACTTCAAAGCCATGTTCAAATCACAAATGGCCGAGTCCAAAGAAAAATCCATCAGCATCAAAGACATAGATGAGGAGGCTATGGATAAACTTATCCAGTATGCTTACACGGCACGGATTAAACTCAGCACAGACAACGTCCAGTCCGTGCTGTATGCTGCATCTATATTACAAATTGAGACCGTTGCAAATGCCTGTAGCAACTTCATGCAATCCCATCTTCACCCATCAAACTGTATAGAGGTAAGATCACGCACTTTGGAAAATGTGCATACTTTTGTTGATCTGATTTTGACTTCCATTTAAACTATACAAGATTATACCAGAAAAAAAAATGTGATGGTTCCGTTAGCAAAAGAAGTAGAGTTCACCTGTTTCTTTAAGCTCTGCTTAAGATTGGATTTTGCGGTCCGTACTATGCCCAGCTGTCTTTACTTTTCCTGATTTCATTCAGTTATGTGTTAGAGAAACGTGGTCTCACTCAACATATAATCACTAGCTCATAAAGTGAACCTGAGACTTTATAGTTAGTTATCGTGCTCATGGGATGAAGTGGTCCAATTGTAGAGCATCCAACTGCTAAGCTATAATGTCTCATTCAAATCTGGATTCAAGTGTCTACACATCCCAGTTCTGATGGGTACCTGACTTACTATAGAGAAAAAAATGTGGCTGAGTATAGTCCTGACCACAGATTACCTTGACATGCCTAGATCATTGAAACAGGTGAACTCTACTTCACTTGCCCCATGGGCCATCAGGAATTTGATTTTACTCATCATGTAATCCAGGGGTCTCCAAACTTTTCACTCCGAGGGCCGCATTGACTATCAAATTTCATTTCGGGGGCCAGTTTCTTCCAGGCATGTCTTTGATTTTTCTGGGCAAAGTTCCTCAGCCATCACCAACAAACGATTTTTCCTTGGACAAAAAGATCTCAGCGGGCCGGATGAGAGGACATCGCGGGCCGCGTCCGGCCCGCGGGCTGTAGTTTGGAGACCCCTGATGTAATCTTCTGATAGACCATGTCCATCTATTTCTCCTTTTGATTTTGAATCTAATGCAAAACACTTTCAGAAATAAAAATTATTATTTCATCCACAGGTACGAAGCTTTGCAGAACTGCACAACCGCGTTGAGCTAATCAAGACAACAGACAATTATATTAGGGACAATTTCATAGCTGTTTCACAAAATGAGGAATTCCTCTCGATGCCCATTGAGATCCTTACATCCCTTGTGTCATCCCCCGACCTGAATGTAGATTCTGAGGAGCAGGTTTACAGTGCCATCATGGTGTGGATTAAACATGACAACGAGAAGAGGAAACCCCATTTACCTGAATTACTGTCAAAGGTAAATTCCCTTTTTAAAACGTTTTTCTTAACTCAGCTTCGCGTTTGTTTGTTTGTTTGGTTGTTTGGATGTTTGTTGTTAAAATTGACATCGAAAATTAGCCCACTTCTGATTGCTCTAGAGACCTGAAATTTGGCATGCATGCTACTTTCGCCTAACAATTTCAGATGCAATCATAAAAACTAGCAATTAGTGACCGTAATTAGCTTAATTTAATTACGCCCCAAGGACCATAAAATTGAGGCCATGATTTCTAAAGATACCGACCAGACTTGAGGCCTATTGACACAGTTACTTCGGCCCCAATCGATGTGAGCGCGCTGGCCGTGATCGTATAGTGGTTAGTACTTCGCGTTGTGGCCGCGACAACCCAGGTTCGAATCCTGGTCGCTCAAGATTTTTAGTCCGTGTATTTATAAACACTTTTTTAAAAACCACGTTTTTCATGTGTAGCAACGGACTAAAAAGGAGAAAATAAAATACTTAAAAAAAACTTTTTAAAAAACCACGTTTTTTATGTGTAGCAACGGACTAAAAAGGAGAACGGACACGGTAACACATTGTTAACGGTGACACGGTTGGTACGCTGGGCATGCTAAAATACACATAAACACGTTTTTCCTTAACTCAGCTTCGCGTTTATTTGTTTGTTTATGGGAGATTTGATCACGTGATTCGTGAGTAGATCTCCACGCCAGCAACGTAAATTACACCCTTTCTCTGTTTAAAGCGTATCGGTCGCTCAAGATTTTTTTAGTCCGTGTATTTAAAAACACTTAGTCAAGTCATACTTAATCAAGTGATTAGATAAAGTAGAAAATAAACTATATAAAAAACTTTTTAAAAACCACGTTTTTCATGTGTAGCAACGGACTAAAAAGGAGAAAATAAAATACTTAAAAAAAACTTTTTAAAAAACCACGTTTTTCTTGTGGACTAAAAAGTAGAAAATAACTATTTACATACATTTGATGACAAAAAACGTGGGTCGGGCAGATGGGTCGGGAAATTTGATGGTGAACGTACCCACGTTTTTTGTCATCAAATGTATGTAAATAGTTATTTTCTACTTTTTAGTCCACAAGAAAAACGTGGTTTTTTAAAAAGTTTTTTTTAAGTATTTTATTATTATTAAACATCATTTGTTGTCGGAATGTTAACTATAAGTAGTGGAAGTATCTTTGAATATGATAATGAGAAAACAGCATTTATCTGAATTAATGTCAAAAGTAAATTCTCTTTTTCTTATACTAAATTATACATAATTTTTTGTTGCAATGTAAGCTAGAATTATCTCTTCATTTAACATTGTAGCATAGATTTACCTAGTTATTCAGTTTTTTTTTTAAAAAGAGTATAGTTCTCTTACTTTCTGTTGCCACTTTTTACAAATAAATTGTATGATAATGGTAAAAGTATTGCACATTTTCTCCATCTAAGCTTTAATCTTTACTGATTGAATCTGATTATCCTAGATTTTGTGAATTGATATTTAGAACCCAGAAACACAATAATTTATTTTATCAAACAAGTCTCTGGAACTACAACACATTGGCTCATTTTTTGTACACTAAAGAGCAAATCTTGATTACCAACACTATTTATTACATAAAGCACAGTTTTAATCTTTATAAAGTCATACCAGTCTGACAAGCTTTGATCAAGTTGCTACTAAGAAAATAGTAAATAGCATACGACTGCTAACTCAAAAGTCTCACGTTTGAATCAGGTTTAAATTCTGGAAATGTCCCAGCTCTAATGGGTACTTGATTCATGTTAGAGAAAGAAAACGCGGTTGGGCATAGTGACCACACTATGCTGAGATCACAGAAACAGGAAAACTCTACTTCACTTGCCCCATTGACCATCAGTTTGAAATGAAACTTAACTTTTTTCTAAGCATATGTTTTAATTTTATTTTGTTCAACTTTCTTGCTAGGTGAAATTGCCATTGCTTGACCCAGTGTTTTTGATGACGAAAGTTGGACCAGATGAAATGATAAACAACAGTTTTGAGTGTCGAGATTTGGTCAATGAAGCTATGTCCTACCGCATGTCCATAGCCAACATAGTTCCAGAGGTCAAGATAACAGAAAGGTCGCGCCCACGTAAAAGTTACGCAGGTCAGAATTTATTTTTTATTAATTAAAATTTCATCTAATTAATAGAAATTTTTTTTTTATTTTTTAATGTTGAAGAAACAAGTTTTTAGTGCTCTAGAAGCAAGTTGAGCCTGCTTGTCAAAAATTCAGTTGGACTTGTTTTGAATCTGTGTCATGCCCCTAAGTTTAAAGAGTACCTTATGTCAGTCATGTAATAAAGTCTAGTATAGCTGAACAATGTTCTGGCCACGGAAGTTGGTCTGGTTTTCTAAAGTCAACATAGCTCTATCAAAAGTTAAATGGCAGATACCCAATGGACTTGGATCATCTCATATTATTGAAATCAGACACTCTATGATTTTTTAAAAAATCCACTTTACCCAATATTTTTCTTGTGTATATGTTTTTCCATATTTTTAAGGTAAATGTATTGTATTATCTTTCTGGTATATACCTTTTTATCAATATTTCAAAGGTATATACCTTTTTTTTCAATATTTTAAAGATGTAGGCCTCTTACTTTTTATTCATATTTTTAAAGTGCATGTATTGCATAATTGTACAGGTGTACTATTTTGTGTTGGTGGCCGAGGGGCCTCTGGGGACCCATTTAAAAGCATAGAGTGCTATGACCCACGCCAAGACAAGTGGTTTCCTGTTGCAGACATGACAACCAGACGTCGACATGTTGGTGTCTGCTCCTACAATGGTAGGATTCAATCTGTTGAAATATTTTTTTTGTTTTTTATGGGCTATTTTAGAAATATTTGTGCTACAAGGTGATTAGGACAGGAAAGTGTCAAAATGTGAAGAAGATTGTAGAGGTGAAGTCTTGACAAAAGGCTATGAATGAAACAAAAAATAAAATGTGGGGAAGCCAAAATTAGCTAAAACTTCACTTAAGTTTAAGGGACTGTTGAAGTGATAAAGCGTTTGACTGCTAACCAGAAAGTCTTGAGTTCAGATCCTGGTCTTAAGTGTGTAAGATGTCATTGAGTCCACCCAGCTCTGATGGGTACCTGGCTCACGTTGGGGAAAGTAAACATAGCTGGGTTAAATGCTGACCACACTATCCCTTCTTATGCAGAGGTCAATAAAACAGGTGAACTTCACTTTATCTGCCCAAGGTCCATAAGGTTTGAAAGGGTACTTTTACCTTGTGTTCACATAGGCCTCCTTGCTTACTTAATCTTTTTAACTCCCTGTGGCAGAGGCGTAGCGAGGGGGCTGGGCGGGGGTGCGGACCGCACCGGGTGACACCATTTAGGGGGGTGACACCAAGGCAAAAAATAGCAAAATATATAGAGAAAAACTTGAGGGGGGGGTGCAAATCGAAACTTTGAGGGGGGGGGGGGTGCAAATCGAAAATTTGAAAGTTTGTCGCTACACCTCTGGGGTGTGACACCATTAAATGCCGCACCGGGTGACACCCGACCTCGCTACGCCACTGCCCTGTGGTATACAAGACAGCATCAAAACTCCCCAATTATTTTTCACATTGTTTTAAATGAATTTTTTAGAACTTTTTTAGTTATATTTCCTTTGTCTCAACTGTTTTAAAATAATCCTTGCCAGGTTTGTTGTATGCTGTTGGCGGCCATGATGGATCTGATCACCTTCGCAGTGGGGAAATGTTTGACCCCAAAACCAACACCTGGAAACCTATAGCTCAAATGGAGACTTTAAGGTTAATAGCACTACGGCTGTAGGGTTTGCTTCCAATTTTCTATCAGTGTTTAGGTAGAAATCATTCAAAGCTTAGACATGAGGATTTTATGTTGAAGATTCGTTTAGCATGTCAAATGATGTGTAGATTGTTTGAGTTTGTTTTAATTTTTTTTAATTAACAATCATGAAATAGTTTGAGTTTGATTTTTTTTACTTGGGATAATGCTTGCCCAAGCAGTAGAGCTTATCCAAATATCTCAAAATCTATTCTCGGATTCACATCTGTAGAACTTCTTGAGTTCATGATGGGCACATGAATCATATTAGGGAAAATATAGGTTGCTGGACAAATTTCTGACCACACTATCCATTCATATGCCATGCTCACATAAACAAATAAATTCTACTTTGTTTTTACTATTTACTCACAAGTCAGAAAGAGTAACTTTTTATTTAAAGGTTTCATAAATGATTTTATTTTTCAATTTAAAATCACCAAATGACAAGCGCTAGTAGGTTGATACATTTTTTCTTTTTGTGTAATTTAAAAAAAATTTAAACAGCACATGATTTTAACCTCCATGGATTTGTTTTATAATTTTTGAAAACAGGAGAGGAATAGCTCTGGCATGTCTGGGTGATGTGATCTATGCTGTAGGTGGCCTGGACGACGCAACATGTTTCAACACAGTGGAGAGGTACGATCCAGTCAGAGACAGCTGGAGCTTTATTGCACCAATGGATACACCCCGGGGAGGCGTTGGTGTTACCACTTTAAAGGTAAATTATACGCTGTAAACCCTCGGCGAGGCGTTGATGTTACCACTTTAAAGGTAAATTTTACACTAAAACCTCGGTGAGGCGTTGATGTTACCACTTTAAGGTAAATTATACACTGTAAAACCTCGCTAGTTGGTGTTACCACTTTAAAGGTAAATTATACACTGTAAAACCTCGGTGAGGCGTTGATGTTACCACTTTAAAGGTAAATTATACACTGTAAAACCTCGGTGAGGCGTTGATGTTACCACTTTAAAGGTAAATTATACACTGTAAAACCTTGCTAGTTGGTGTTACCACTTTAAAGGTAAATTATACACTGTAAAACCTCGGTGAGGCGTTGATGTTACCACTTTAAAGGTAAATTATACACTGTAAAACCTCGGTGAGGCGTTGATGTTACCACTTTAAAGGTAAATTATACACTGTAAAACCTCGTTGAGGCGTTGGTGTTACCACTTTAAAGGTAAATTAAACACAGTAAACAGTAAGATTGGTATGTAGCTATTATAACTCATTGTACTCATTTCTAAAAAAAAAAGTAGAAAATCATTAGGGTGTTAAATACTTTATGAATTCTGTCTAGTTTTAGTTTGTTTCATTAATCATGGCTGGGAAAATTGTTAACCAACCAAGAAATGAATAAAGTTGGCATCCCATGGTTTAAAAGTTTAATCGCAGATCTCATTGCTCTTTAATTGTCATTAACATAAACTGATTTTCTTCAAACCAAACTAGGCTTATAGATCACATTAAGTAAAAGCTGATTACAAAATTCTGTTGAACCACTAGGGGGTGAGGTCATCCAATTACGTCTACAAAATATCATTAAAATTACTACCCCTAAACACCCCACCCCATCTCCTTGTTACCTCATTCTTTCTCCCCCACCCTCTCATGCTTTCACTATTGAGAAAATTTCTGTTTTAAAAAACTTACCATTCATATGTTTCACATGTTTTAAAATACGTACCATGTGCATGTTTGACAGGGTCAGCTCTATGCCTTAGGGGGAAATGACGGCACTTGTTCCCTAGACAACTGTGAGAAATATGATCCCTATTTGAACAGATGGAGTCCTATTGCACCAATGCACAAAAGAAGAGCTGGGGCGGGTGTAGCTGTATTAGACAACTACATCTATGTTGTAGGTAAGGCAAGCTATGCACATGTTGGGAGTAAGCCAAACTAAACTTATCGCTGTAGTTGAGAAAGTTTGCATTTGATGTTGACAAGTCAAACTCTGTTTATGTTGGGAGCATGGTAAACTAAACTGCTGAATTTTAGAAAATGTGTGTATGTTGTACGCAATTCAACTTATGTTTATTTTAAATCCACATAAGTAATTTTGTGTGGATTGCTTTCATTTTTTAGTGCAAGTGTTTTAACATAAAAGCTTAATTTTAAAATTTTAACATTACACTTGAATAGAGTTTTACAACATAAACCTAATCAAAGTATAAATTAGATTTTATTTCATCTCCTTTGTGTCCTCCAGGTGGATTTGATGACAATTCTCCTCTGGACTGCGTTGAAAAGTATGACCCTAAACTGAACAAGTGGTCATTTGTGGGGAGCATGTCTTGTTGTCGAGGTGGAGTTGGTGTCAGTGCTCTTGGGGGGCGTCTTTATGCAGTTGGCGGTCATGATGGTTCCAACTATCTCAACTCAGTGGAAGCATATGATCCACTTACTAATAAGTAAGTTTTTGGACAGTATAAGAATTAGTATAAGAATTAGTAAAAATAGCATTCAGTCTGCTTTCTCTGCCTGCGTTTTTAATTGTAATATTGAATTTGATTTCCTGAAACTTGGTTAAGTATTCCATGTTAGCACATTATGCGCCATATGGCCCATAAATGTCAAGATGTTATGCGCCAAAAGGCCAGTTCACTCTGACTTCAGCTTGTTTTTCTTTTTGGATTTGCTTCCATTCCCATTGTCCACCCAAAAACAAACTACACGGCAGCTGTATTTGGAATTTTGCATTCCTAACTGGGTTGCTGTCCCCAGTTAATAAGCCTCATGTGCCTAAGGGTCAAAACTCTTGGAGTTAGCTATCATTCATCTGCTCTCTCATCCGTCCATGTTGTTCCCTAGTATTTACAATAATGTACAGCCCTGGAAGTCTGTATTGAATAAACATTAGGGTAAGAGAGATAGAGTTGATTCAGTCTGTAGACATTCCAAACATGAAGCCTGGGTTAAGCTTGCTGGGTAAACTACAGGCCACAGAATTCATTCCTGCTGTTGTGATTTGTGAACTCTGCTTCTTCTGATTTGTTACACATGGGGTCATCACTGGTACTTGGTGTCTTGAAATGGTTTGTTGCATTTAGTAAACCGCAGGCTTATAGGGCTACAGGACATTTCCTACCCCCCCCCCATCCACCAATATGGAATCCTGATTCTAACTCTAACTCATCATACCAATATATTACCTTAATCCTAACCTTAAGACAAAGACGAAAAACCTAAGAATTTGACTCACCCTAAAATAAACCCAGAATCAAACCCAACTCTAGACATTGATTTAAGCCTGATCCTAACCCTAGCCTTAACCCTAGCCCTTGCGCTAACCCTAGACCTAGCCCAAACTCAAACCCTAGCTCTAACCCTTGCTGAACCTTAAGCTATGCCCGGGGGGTAATGTCCTACTGGGCGGGGGGGGGGGGGGGTAATTACTCCAGGGGGGTATTGACGGGGGGGGGGGGGTTCCCGGCTTAAATTGGCAAAAGCACATTAATGTAATACATTTTTTGACTGTCTGTTTATCCAGATGGGAACCAGCACAAGGCATACAGCAGTATCGAGCCGGTGCGGGCGTGACCTACTGCGACTGCTCCCCAAAGTTGCTACGGCAAGTTACATCAGCAAACTCTACAGGCCATTTATAACATCATTTTGTAAAGATTTTAATTTTTTTTTATAAGAGGAAAAGCAATTTTTGTATATAAATAAAGCACATCATAATAATGATCGGTCTAAATACATTTATATAAAAAAAATTTATGATCAAATTTTATGGTTTAGGGCACTTTCATCTTTTATGAAAAATAATAAACAGAAAGCTTGAATTAAAAAAATACTTTGCTTTTAAACACAGTAAAAAAAAAAACAACTTTTAAACATCTGTTATGATTCTAACTATAACTATATCTAAATAATTAAAATATTCTTTCATTTTTTTTAATACATTTTTCTAACCAATAATTTACAAACCCTCAGAAATCTTTTATAACTTTTTGTCGCAACCTGTTTGTCCAAATTTGTAACCAAAACTCTAGTTATAGAAACTGTGATAGAGAAATCTACAGCAAACTATCTTGATATTATTTTCTGTATGTTGTTATAGTGAAACATCTATTCTCCTTGTGATTTCACCTACAGCTAAAACCTATTTTAAATTGAGAGGGGGTTATAAATTGAAATCATGCATCATCTCATGGTTAAAATATATTGGTTACCTTTGACCTTTGTTATCTTGCAGCCAACAACTCCATGTTTTAAATGAGTACAAATCCTGGCAGGACTGCTTCAAAGTTGATTTAAAATCCGACTATAGTATAGTTGATACATCATGAAGGAGAGAGTCCTTTTATCAAACACTCTTTTGTTTTTTTAAGTATGATGTTAGTTTCAAGATTTGAAAAAAAAAATTTCATGAAGCTAGAAAATCATGAAATAATATTGTTGAAAAGCTTTTGTTCCATTTATTTTTTAAATTCCAGTTACATTTTTTATCTGTAGCGATTGTTTAATAGGTTGTAAGAAACAAACACTCACAAATTTGGTGGCTTGCTGCTTAATTTTTTTTTTTTAATTTAAATATTGCATGGCATGCTTTCTCGCATGAAATTAGCAGAACATGTGTCAACTTTCTTTCAATTTCAAGCTGTCAGTTTCTTTATGAATAGTTCCTTTTTTTTCTTCAGTTTTCTGTTCTGTATAACCATTTTTTATTTTAAAGCACTTGAATTTAGAAAATGTAAGAAATAGAACTACTCTTCTCTGGTGAATGATCTCTAGTTGTTAGAAAATGCCATTAATTTGATATTACTTGGTTAAACAAAATTTGATTTTTTACATTATAATCATACAAAACTAATTTGTTTGGATTTTTTTTTGTTACACAAAGTAATTTTAGGTTTTAAATAAAATGTATAATATTAAAACCTAAAATACAAATTGATTATTAATTACAGAATAATTCAACAAATGTTTCATAACAAATAGCTTGTTTTGCTAATCGGTATAATTTGAACACTGTAATAATGTTAATCAAACTATGTTAATCTAACTGAAAATTTTTATTAAGTATGTAATTTCCTTAGCCTGTTCATTGTTTCAAGAGGACAATTTTACTAACATTATACTCTTATAGAGTTTTATAAAGTACACAATTGCTTTGTCTACTAAACAGGAAGTCATACATAAGTGGGCTATTTGCCATCAGGGTAAAAAAAAAAACCTCTGCCTTAATTTTGGCCAATGTGTTTGTGTGAGCTAATGATTTTGTTCCCAATAAACTTTGTACAGATTTATTACTATGACAGAATTGAGATTTTTTTTTTTTTTTTTCTGTTTTCCAAACAGGTGTTTTTGTATTTTATTTTCGTTAAAAAAATAGAAACCAATTTTTTGACGATAACAAAACCAATACTACCCAGCTCCAACTGGGTTTAGGTGAAGTATGCAAGTAGAATTATTAACTGTTTCAAATGTATTTAACTCATCCTAGAATGTTTTTTTAAAAGGGGTAACTAACATAAAACGTTGTATTGTGATACCTGTCATGATTCAGAATTTAAAGGGAGAGAAAAAAAATTTTAACATCCTATGGTCAATACTACAATAGGATATACAATAACTTTTTTCCTCTAAAAATGAAATTAATATATATTATTTTAAACTCTGACAAATTAATAATACTTCATGAGTTCATTTTTATCATAAGAATTTCTAAAAGAAACTAACTTGCACTATTTTTTTTTAACATCAGCCTCACTAAGTTTGCATTTTATCAACTGCAGTGGCAGTAATTTTACTGTCACAATAGTTTTTGACATGTTATGTATGTGATAATGATTCACATTTTTATTATTTTAAAGACCTTACTGCAGCATTTCTGTTGTTATCCCTTCAAAATGTAGGACATTGCATCTGTTATCACCTTGTGTTATGTAAATAGTCCCAGTATTCCCCCCTTGTCTATCACTCAGCACATTGTCTTGTTTCATTCACCACTGACAGTAGTGGTAGTATAAATGGATTTGTTGACACAGCTTGCATTTTTTTTTTCAATCGTCTTTCATCCATACTCATTAACAAATCTGTGAACAGTCATTAATTATGTGTATGTATATATATATTTTTTTAAACAAACTGATGCTGCCTTTAACATTTTTTTAGTGCTTTGCTAATCGAAGGGGCTAAGGCTGTGTTATATTGTCTTAATGTTTTCAATCTATTTAATCAAAAATCCAAGTTAGGTCATTATTCCAGTGATTACTGATGTTTCAATTTTTACAACGGGTGTAAAAAAAATTTACAACGGTTGTAATTAAAATTGTCTGTTCTTGATCCTTATTAAAAAAGCATGCATTATTTAAGGGCATTAACTGGGGGGCAGGTTATACTAACAATATAAATCTTTCGCATTGGAAGATTCTTTAGAGTACTACCTATTAAAATGTTAACAAACTAAATCCTGGCTTGGTAGAAATAGGAACGTCATTTTAATTTAACAATTGTATAAATGTCTGTTACATGATGTAATTTTAGTAATGTTATAGAATAAATATAGACAATAAAATCCCTCTATATTAGCTGACTCATTATTTTTTTGTTCTTGTTTCTTTGAAGATTCTCACGTGAGCTATGGGACAACCAAACTGCTGGGAAATTACAAAAGAATTGTTTGTTTTTTAAATGTCCTGTTTCCCTCCATCAGAACTGCCTTTAGTTTACAAACAATTTAAATTTATCCTAATTTGTGCCACTGTGTGAGGTGGCAGAGGGAACGTTTTCAGTGACCAAAAGTATACACAGTTGAAAACTGCATAAAAAGTGCGCAAGGGTCTTTTTGTTTTCTAAAATTGAGCATTTATAGACGTTAAAAATTTGTTTGTGTTAGCGTATTTTTTCTTCTGTTTGCGCAGTTTTCCATTTGCGCATTTGTCTGGTAACCAACATTTTCAGATATATTTTAACGCAGTATAAAAACTTTTCAACAGTTTTTTAATGAGGATGTAACAAGAAAATTTCCACAAAATGATCTGATTCAATATTGTAATGTGCCTTGGGTGGGGGTTCCGGTTTGTGATGTTCTATCAAGTGAGAGAAGTTGTCTACTGTAAGCCTGCTCTGTATAATATTTGGAGTAGGGATAGACTAGTTTTATCATAGGTTGTCTATTGGATTTCATGTAGGTTGAGGATTTTGATCCCCAAAAATCCTAAATCATCCCCTTACCCCATAGTTAAAAAATGTCATGAAAAATGTCAATGAACAATAAGAACATGATAAGAATTAATGGATTAAGATTTCAGTTATGCACGACCCCACAAAGTAGACCAAAAAAAAAAAATAGCTCTAGCTATTAAAACTGCAAATGACTCTTCAGAACTGAATTCAAGAAAAAAAAACGTTTCAAAAACGCGTTTGAATAACACTTGAATTCATTTTAAATTCTTAAAAAAAATGTGTTTTTTTTTTTTACGCAGCTGCTGCTAAAATATATCTCTTTAATAGGAAAACGCAGACGACTATTTCTTTTCACTTCCGGTAGACATGGTAACAGCTGTCTGTTTCCCAGAATTATTTAACAGAGTGATTAGTTTCTCCATCCCTTTCTTTTTTCCCGTGTGCAGGTTTAGATTTGTCACTGATGTCCGAGCGTGCCTAGCGTAGCTGTAGTTGAAGTAGCCGGCGCTTCTCAGGTGATGAAGTAGCTTGACCGTCGAAACGTTCCGTGCCACTTCCTCCATTCGTAGTTTGTGGTGGTCAATGATTTCCGTTTTTTTATTAGATGACTGCGGTTTTAAAAACTGCATCGCCCTGACCGCTGATGAGAGAGGGGAGGTTTTACATTTATTCAGATTTAGCATTTAAAAATTATGGCTTTTGAAATAGCAAATAGCACCCCCCTAAAAATTTCTCCAGGTAATATAAAATAGCAAACTCCCTGTGGCGTTACTAGGAGATGTGCCCAATAAAGCGTTTTTATCCCCTAGTCTACAATCTGATATTACACGTATAAGCTTGTAAGATAGAGTAGTATTATAATCGATAGATTCATTTAGATTAAGACGAATACTGTTTCTTCTAGGGAGGGGGGGGGGGCATCTCTTATGGGTGGGGGGAGGGGTACTGCACTCCAGGGCATGTCCCTCCCCCACAAGGACGAAAAAAAATACATATTTAAAATTTTTAGTGTCCGCCTCTTCTCCCTGAAGAAACACAGGATAAATGTAGGACCTACACGTTTAAAACAAACTTTTTATATCAGCCTCTTCATAATAAACCATTTACTCATAATTATAACACAATGTAATCATTGTAGTTGTAAACTACCATAATACTTTTTTTTTAAATTATAGAATTTTAAATAAAATAATTGTTGTAAACCTACCCCAGGCAGAGTTTCTTCCAGGCATCTCTCCGCCCCCCCCCCCCCCCCCCCTCGAAGAAAATCTACCGTCCCGCCCCCCCCCCCCCCAACGAGATGTAATTTATATATAAAACATATACTTTTAATAGTGTCCACCCCCACCGGAAAATGTAGACCCCCCCCCCCCCCGAAAATATCAAGTGCCCCCCGGAGAAAAAAGTTGGGAAGAAACACTGACCCCAGGTTTAGAAATGTGCCCCCTACGAGTCCGCGACCCATACAGTAAGAAGCTTGTTACCTTGTGGTGCACCCTCTCCTTCCTCATCATCGTCCTCTTCATTTTCATCATCGTCATAGTAGCCATCGTAGGGATTGAGCTGATCACCCGACGTATCCTTCACTTTATCTTTCAAGGTTTTTTTCACCGGGGTGTCAAGAGACTTGATAGTGGGCGCCTCGTCTGTAGTCCCTTCGTCGGCTTTTTTGTTGAGCTCTATAGGATTGTGTTGCAGATGTAAATACGGGTTGTTTATTTCTAATGGGTTAATGTAGTTTCAGCTATGTTTAGCTCTTTAATGTGTTGAGTGTATCGACTTGTGCCCCAAAATGATACCATTAAAGCTATAGGCCCTACTACAATAAATTTAATAAGCTTAACAATACGCGGTATTATAATATTTTTATCGAAACGCATATTGGCCTTAAAGAGGGTCTGGGAGAAATTTTGGCCCTTATTTGAGTTCCGTTAAATTAAAGAAACTGCATTTTAGATACACGGAGACTGCATTTTATCCTGTTAATGTGTTATTCTTAGCAACGAATTATTATATCTGGCATTAGGTCTTAGAACCGCATTTCTTACTAGAGCCGCACTTTTACCCAAAGCCGCATGTTGCCTACCATTGTTCGAAAGTTAGAGATTGTGTGTACGTTTGACTTCTCTAGCAATGCATTAGTACACCTGTTACATTTTTTAATGTTATCATTTTCGTTTCGATAATGAAGGGTAACAAACGAATTAACTTACTTTTGGCCAACTCAGCGTAAGGATTCGGTAAAGGATTTAAGGTGTCGTCGTTTCCGCGGTCTGAGCTTTTTCCTGAAAACGAAAGTAGAACAGGCACACTTGTTAAATGGCCAATGAGTTAAAGCCCATATGTTGTTTTTGTACCAACTTATATGTAAACAATAAATATGAAATATGAAGTGATGGTGTTGTCAGCGCCATTCCTAGCCGCCTTTTCTTATCCGTATTTGTTTGAGTCAGGTACCCACCAGAGCTGGGGAGACTCAGGGACGCCCAACGAATCTAAGTCAGGGTTTTTTTCAGTATTTTTTCCGGGTGGATGGGAGGAGGGCGTGCTTATCCCTTTACAAAAGATGACTAAAATGAACTGATTTAAGCCCGGTAGTCGAACATGAGATTATCATGTTAGAAATCGATACCACACGGCGATTACATAAGGACTGGCATTAGTTATGTTTACTTTATTAATTACCATTTAACATCAAATTAATAACTTAATTATCCGATTGTTCCTTGTCGTCACGACGCAACAAAGGGTTCGTCTACACATGGCGTCACACACCGTGGCGAGGGGTGTTCAGACCTTTGCCATGGTGTGCTAGTGTGATGTTGCGGGGAAGAAGGGGTGGAGGGGACAAAAGAAATGTAACTTAAAACATGAAAAAATCTGATTTGTAAATTTTAAATAAAATGAAAACATTGAAATTTCTGTTCGAATTGTTACATGAGGGGCTAGGACTTCGTGACATCATTTTAAACTGAAATGGGTTGAGGTCTGACGAATGGGGTTGTGGGTAAGATAAGCTAAAACAGATTATTAAAAGAGGATGTGAAACTTGTACTTTTTATTGAAGAGGGTGAAATTTGGAAATGTCATTGGTGAATTGCATGAAAAGGTCTGTATTTTGGCACCTGTATTTCTAAATCTAGAAGCGGATAAGAAGTTGTTTTTATAGAGTGCGTTTTAAAAGTTTAAATATCCCAATGTCTAGACATCAGAAGTAGGTCACAAGTGGCGGGGCTTAACTTTTCGCACGTGCACTTTTTACATTAGTGGCGGATCTTATCTGGACATAGCCACTAAATTACCACTGGTTCAACAGAAAACTAAGCCAACCCCCTTTACCCCCCCCCCCCCCCCCCATATCTACCTTATGTAAATGTGTAAGACCAATTCAATTACCGTAGAAAGAAAAAAACATCGCAAAACAAGCTTTGGACTGGAATCACCAGGGAAAAAGGAGGGTGGGCCGGCCAAGGAAAACATTGAAGAGAACGGTTGAGGAAGAGGGGAAAACAGCTGGGCTCACATGGGCACAGATTAAGGGAGCAGTCCAAAATGTGTGGTTGCAGCCCTTTGCTCCCCAGGGACCACAAAGAAATGATGATGATGAATTACCGTAGTCTAGGTACGCGGCGCGTTTGGTAGCTTTGCTGTGGTTCACGTCCGTGTGCCGATGTAGCCGTCTGTTCACAACTTTACCGGTTTTACAAGCGGACGCCCGGGAGTTTTTCACGTTGTTCGCCTGTACAAGATGTCGATCTTTGTTGTTGTTGTTCGCGGTGGTTGGGCTGCGTCTGGTGGCGGCCTCGTTGTCTACAATCACCGGCAGTATCTTACGTTTGCATTCTGACTTTGATTTGACCGGCTGACGGCTGCTCCAGACTTCGAGCTGTGTTTTTGTGCTGGCGACGGGTGCTGTTATCGATTTTCGACACTGATACATTATAATAAAAGTAATGGTCGATACGCGAAATAATATTTTACTTGTTTCTATACGTTTTAGATGTTTCTTTCTTTTTTTAATTTAGTGATAAACAAATTTACACTTTTCGACTTTAAACAAAAATCTTTTTTATTTTTTTATGGATCACCGCCATCATTTATCATGACCAACTTCCGGTTTCTAATAGGAAGTAATTTTGGCGCCAGTGTTTGAGAGTATTTAAAAAGGATAGAATGATTTACTATTGAAAATCTTTGAATGGGGTTTTAAAAATTGTATTTTAATTAATGTATTGATACTTGATTCCAGAGGAGCTGTCCTATGTGGTGGATTTGGGGAGGAGTTACGCACACCCATCCAATGGGGTGATATAGTACTGTTTATATTTTTTATTGGCGGTGTATTTTTCAGTAGGGAAGCCGTACAGAAATGACGTCATGCTTTTTTTTATTGGGGAAAGTAAAGCGAGTAGTCCTAGTGCCGACCACATTAATACTATCAATATCCCTTCATAAAGTTCATATACCGAGGCAGTGGCGTAGCGAGGTCGGGTGTCACCCGGTGCGGTACTTAATGGTGTCACCCCCAGAGACGTAGCGACCCTTCAAGTTTTCGATTTGCACCCCCCCCCCCTCAAACTTTTGATTTGCACCCCCCGCCCTAAAGCTTTCGATTTGCACACCCCCTCCTCAAGTTTTTCTCTATATATTTTGCTATTTTTTGCCTTAGTGTCATCCCCCTAAATGGTGTCACCCGGTGCGGTCTGCACCCCCCGCCCCCCCCCCCCCCTCCTAGCTCAGTGGCGCAGCGACCCTTCCCGGCCCCCGGGGACAAACTTTTCCATTTGCACCCCCTCAAACTTTCGATGTTCACCCCCCTCAACCTTTCAATTTATTTTTCCAACCCATTTTGGCGCCCCCTAAGGTCGGCGCCCGGGCACATATGCCCCCCCCCTCGCTACGCTACTGCCCTCGCTACGCCTCTGTGCAGAGGTCACAGACAGAGTCGTGGCTAGAGGATGGCAATAGTGCGGGCGTCGACTCTGATGGAGCGCCAAACGGGGTAGAAAAACAAAAATTTAAAAAATAAAGGTTATATAGGGTTTCGTTACTGAATTATATACTGAGTTTTTTAACAAGTAGATTGCTAATGCTACTTGCCTTTACAGGCAGTTTTAGCAGTTTTCTACATCAATTGTGTGACACCAAAATAAAAATTGTTACGGGCAGGGCCGGCGCTACCTATAAGGCGAACTAGGCGGTCGCTTAGGGGGGGGGGGCGCCTAAATGGGTTGGAAAAACAAATTGAAAGTTTGAGGGGGGTGCAAATCGAAAGTTTGAGGGGGGGGGTCCAAATCGAAAGTATGTCCCCGGGCGCCGGGAAGGGTCGCTACGCCTTTGATAATACGGGGGCACGAAAAAAATTGCGGGGGGGGCGCTTTTAATAAGTTTTGCCTAGGGCGCTTAATAACCTGGCGCCGGCACTGGTTACGGGAAAGTGACTGATAAAAACTCCACCAACCATTCAAACGGGGGGGGGGGGGGGAAATCATTAACATGAATAACTTTACATTACACATATAAGTGGGGGTGGGGCAAAATGGATAGTCCTCCCTAGGCTAAAAAAATTCTACTTCTGCTGCTCTATGGACCTAAGTTCGAAAGGCTAACTACTCAAAACCAGTGTTTCTTTTAGACTTTTTCTCCGGGGGGTGGGGTGGACACTGGTAAAAGTATATATTTTCTATATAAATTCCATTTCGTTTGGGGGTGGAGCGCTAGACTTTCTTCGGGGGGGGGGGGGGGGGGGGTAAAGTTTCCCTTTCAAACCTGAAACCTGGGGAAAGTGAAGTAGAGTTCACTTGTTTCTGTGACCTCAGCATATGAAGAGACAGTGTGGACAGCACTATGCCCGGCCGCCTTTACTTTCCCTAACGTGAGTTAGGTACCCATCAGGGTTGGGTGGACTGAGGGTTTCGAACTCGAGACTTAAGGGTTAGCAGTCCAGCTCTCTACCGCTAGACCGCTCCGTCCCCTTATTTTATGTGTACACAATGAATAATAGAGTGTAAAAAAAAACTTAAACATATAAACTACACCTGAGGGGGGGGGGGGGGGTGCCAGGAAGAAACTGATCAAAACTCACTTTAAGTTGGTGCAGTTTTTACTGAATTTTACAATTATTATTTTTTTAGATGACAATGTCTTTCTGTCTGTCTACCTCTCAGCCAGAAAGTAAGAAAATAAACTTCCTTTAGTAAAAGCGTCTTTTTTATTAAAGGAAGTTTTATTTGTTTTCCTTACTGTATTTAATAATAATCATTAAAAAAGTTTTAAAAAACCCACGTTTTCTGATTGAACTAAAAAGTAGAAAATAAACGCTATACATCACAATAATGCAAGCGATCACTCTACTATAAGCGATGAAAAACGTGGGGCGCCGAAGTAAAAGTTATATTACTATTGATTAGATAATACTATTGACTTTTATTAGGGAGCTTGTAGAGAGTCAACAGTATTAGAAACTGTAAGAAAATCACGGCGCCCCACGTTTTTGATCGCTTATAGTAGAGTGATCGCTTGCATTATTGTGATGTATAGCGTTTATTTTCTACTTTTTAGTTCAATCAGAAAACGTGGGTTTTTTAAAACTTTTTTAATGATTATTATTTTCTAGTTTTTAGTCTTTGTTTGTTTGCATTAAAATCTTGCTATCGATTTTATCTTTTCACTTTTTTTGGGTAAACGAAGACAACTCGTAAAAAGACAACTCGTAAAAAACACGTTGTGTTAACACATAGATTTGAACCCGTGTCGAGTGGGATAGCAATCGTGTGCCCAACCACTCGACCATATCGTCTCCCCCAAACTGGCCTACCTCCTGTAAGTTTAAACTCGGTTCAAACTAAATTATCTGCCCCTAAGCCTGTGGCGATGTGGGATCGTTCGCTTCACTGCGCGCGAGGTACGCGTCGCTCGTTTTTTTTCTAATGGCTCGCAGAGGAGAATTATATATATAGATTATATAGCGGTCTAAAATGCTCAATAAAATGTTTCCATTGATCAATTTAGTAATAATAACAATTGAATATTCAATGGTCATCCAAAAGAAAGCTTCCCTGAAAATTTCAGCGCGCTAGCTAACTGGGAAGTGCCAGAAATTTCGATCGCAAGATTTGATTGGAAAGACAAACAAACACAAACACAGAGAAAGCAAGTTAAAGAAAACGTGGGAAAATCATGTTGTTTTAAAGATTTTAAATGTTAAAATTGTATTTGTAGGCATACTTTAAGTAGTATTATATCACCAGCTGGCCAAAGCTGCCTTACATGTTCTTGCGTAAACGTCGCTGATTTATATCCATGATGACTTGAAACTTTTGGACTTTGTCCAGTTAAGCCTCGACACTAATGCAAAAAGTGCAAGCGCGAAAAGTTAAGCCTCCGCCACTTTTTGTCGGCTCCAATGTAATGCATGCACGCACCTTTGAGGGTTAGGGTTCAAAGTAACAATTTTTATAATCTTGTGTATGTGTATGTGTGTGGGGGGGGGGGACTTTTTTGGCGGGGCTTATCTGGACAAGATCCGAATCTTTAACTGAGTAGGCCCTATACTTATTACCTTAAAACACAGACTAAATGTGAATAGAATGTCTTTAATATCCCAATTCAATGAAGTGTTGTTTTTTTAAACGTGAATAGAATAGAATTTAGATTGCCTAGCTAGGGCCCAGGGCCGGCGCTACCTATAAGACGAACTAGGCGGTCGCCTAGGGCGCTGTCCGTAGGGGGGGGGCGCCAAATGGGTTGGAAAAACAAATTGAAAGTTTGAGGGGGTGCAAATAGAAAGTTTGTCCCCGGACGCCGGGAAGGGTCGCTGCGCCTCTGATACTACGGGGGCACGAAAAAAATTGCGGGGGGTGGGGGGAGCGCTTTTAATAAGTTTTGCCTAGGGCGCTAAATAACCTGGCACCGGCACTGCTAGGGCCTAGACCATGCCTTTGACATTCTTATTGAATGGGTTTTTTTTAAAAATATTACTCTTAGTTATGAGAGGCAATGGGAAACACGTTTGAAAAAGAACAGTATTGATCTTTTGGATTCTAAAGGTACCCTCTATTTAAATTAATTGAACCGTAAAAAACGTCAATGCAAAGATTCAGTGGCGAAACTAGAAAAAAAAATGTGTGTGTGTTTGATATCCAAAAAAATTCAATTCCTGCATTTGAAACTGGCTAAATAATTACATTTTAGTTCTTTTGATTACACATATTGATTTAAACGGTTTATATGTCAAGTTATCAATTGTGGATCTGAAGTTTTATGAAAGGAGTGGTGTTAAAATAAAAAATTCGAGTTGCTTCAAAAAAAAAAAAAACGCACCAAATCAGCCGCATTAGAAGGGCCTTTCACAAAAGTTTCTGGAGCCTTATTTCCAGTCGTCAGTTTGTCGGGAGCTAATTAGTTGTTACCTTTTTGTCGGTTTCTGTTTTTAGTCACGTTTAATTTGTCATTCACCTGTTGAATTTGTTTTATCGGTTTTATTTTCAACTCTTTTCTTAACCATGCACGAAAATTGCATTTAAAAAAATATTCTCGATTGTATTCATTCGGGATTTTCGGTCCATTAAACTCGCCCCCTCCCCCTCCTATATTGCGGGGTTCAGCGACACAGTAGTTCCGCCTTTGGCAAAGTTATTCATGACCGCTTTTTATGTTGGCCTAACGTTCTATTCATTTTTTCTTTCTATTTAAATTGTCATGAACTCGTGATCGTGTTTGTCTAAATACCGAATTACTAGCACATATAAGAAAAAACATCTTTTTGCCTAATTTGTATGTGAGAAATGTAGCCTACATTTATTTCAAATAAGATGGCCTGCACAATCTTAATCCAAGTACCATAGCTCTAGGATATATATATATATATATATATATATATATATATATATATATATATATATATATATATATATATATATATATATATATATATATATATATATATATATATATATATATATATATATATATATATATATATATATATATATATATATATATATATATATACCATCTAATATTTGAGAAATGTTATGAAAATATTATCGTTGTCATACGTTCCAGCCACATTTAGACCCAATTAAATTTTACTTTATAGTTCTTTCCACTTTTAAAA